TCTCTCCCCCCCTCACAGGGTCTCCAGAGGAGGGTGACAGTCACGATTGTCCACGAGTCCGGCGGGGACATCGAGTGGAAGGACGTCCGGGAACTGGTTGTGGGTACGTTAGATTTGATGCGGGTGCACAGAACACAGGGAGGGGTGGGGTTAGGAGTGTCCCTAATGACACACATAAACATTAATGTTGTTATTAGCTGTTTTAAGAGTAAATTTAGAAGGAAGGTCGGAGATGACATGTTTCCCACTTCTGACTTCCCACCTCTGACCGTAAACGAACGCAGCATAAGTCCCATGTCATCAGTGGTGGAGTCTGAGTCGAGTCATACCATTACCATTATCGTCAGAGTCAGTCACAGTCCGGACACTCTGCCTAACGGAGCTTCCTGTGTGCTCTCAGGGCGCCTGCGCAACACCCCAGAGGCGGACGAGACCATCATCGACCCAAACATCCTCTCTCTCAACATCCTGTCCGCCGGCTATGTCAGGCCCACGCAGGACGACAGGTGTGTACCGCTGCTAACCGCTAGCGGATAGCTAACTAGCTGGTTTCGACTCAACAGTACAGTCTCAACTAGGGCCCTATTTTACACCTGGCGCAGAGCGGTGCAGAGCAGCAACAAACTCCATGGGTGTGTTGGTCTGAAAATTAGGCGTGTTCAGGTGTATTGTTGGCGTATTGCTATCTTGAGGCAACTGACAGCAAATTGCACCATTGACCAACAAAAACCTGATGGAAAGTCAACGGTGGGTGTTTAACTGTTAGTTTATGGGCGCGTTAGTAATACGCGCCTATAGGTGGGTGCACAACGCTCGTACACTCTGCTTGTTACACACACAGGGAGGCACAGCAGCGCACAAACATGCAAACTATTACAAATAAAAAAGATTACAATGTGAAAGATTATAATTGTGTACATCAAGATATTTCTTCAAAAAATACATGTCATAATGTCAACATCTAACCCCTGCTCCTGCCAACTGGGTCCGGCCTGAGGATCTTCAGCCAGCGGAGCTGCATGACATTTACAGTTGATATTTACACTCATTTATAGAAGGACTCTCTCACGAGCAGATCCCTCTCCTCAAATCGCTCCTTCTTCCCGCCTGGCAAATCTGCCATCATAATAGCAATCCGCCAAGGTGCACGCGCACCTGGCTTTTAAAGGGAATGGAAGATGACACTCTGATTGGTTTATTGTATGTGACACCCAAAACACACCCATCATTAATGAAGAGATTAAGTACAACCCTTTTGAACCGTGCACCTGGCGCTGCAACCATTTTTTCGTCGTTAAACTAGCATAAGTGGATTGGGACACGCCCTATATGCACCTGCGCCGCACGCTTCAGAGCATGCGCTTCAGATCGTTAAAATAGGGCCCCTAGTGTCTTATCTAGTCACTAGTAACCACACGCAAGACCAATTTTGTGTGTTCACGGCAATCTATCCAGAGGTTAAAACTTTTTTTACAGTGTAGCAAACTCACAATTCAGGTCTGGTGTGGAGATATTCCTTTAAAAATTGCATTCAGCTTGCCTTTGAATTCATGTGGTCAACTGGAATTCAAAATGAGAATGTACAATAGAGTGATGCTCTATTGTCAAAGCTGAACCACGGTCTGGAAACAGTGCTGTTATAGCAAACTTCTGGTTTTATATTAGTGGGATACATTGTATATTTGTATGTTACAAAGACAGATACATGTCTGAACAAACCCAACATGTGAACCTCATCTGAAGGAACGGCACAGACTGCTTAAAACTGCATGCCTTATTTTAGGCGTTTGGCGTTTGGCGTTTTTTTTGTGTGGGTTTGTAGGTTGTGTGTAGGTGTGTGTGTATGAAGGGCACATTCTGCTGTGCTGGCTGCACCTCCCTCCCAGGTCATGATGACATGCCGCCATCACTGCACCATCACCTCGCATCGTCCCATCTCCCCCTCCCTCAGCCCCCCGCCCCTTTCAGACAGAGAGCGAAGCGTACACGGTGCTACAGTGCACACCAGAAACCTGCATGCCCGACACGGTGCATTGTGTTGTTCATTAGCTTTAGTACAATCTTTAGTATAATGGTCAGAGTTGGTTTAAAGCCAAGCACATTACGAAGTAGTCATTGTAACAAAACCACGTCTTGTTTTAAACCAACAGTGACACACCCACGGCATAGTCGCCATCATTGAACTTGTTTCCAATATACTATTATGAATAGTAATATAGTAATATTATTATAGTATATTTATTTTGAGAATTCTGATATTGGACCTTTAAGGACCTAGCATTGGGTGTACGCCTCGTCGCTCTCTTAAAGGAGCTTCATCTATCACCACAGTTAACATAATATATAGGGCTTGTACATTGCAATGACCGCCTCCATTTTGGAAGCATAGGAGCATTGTAATGTTAGTTATTATGTTGGTCGTCATGATTTTTTGGTCATTGTTTAGTCATTCATCATGAAATGATTTCTCATTATGGGGACATTGTTGTGTTTGAAACTGCCACAGCGTTTCTCATGCGAGACGTGGCAAAACGAAAACAAAAGTTTTCATTAGCGTAGATTACGGTATATTTATGTTGATTTAGTATTTTACAGTACAGTACTACAACTCTATTTTGAGTCCTCTCAAAATGGCGAGTGGGAGTATCAGGAGCAAAAAATCCCATGATGCATTCTGATGTACAAGCCCTATACTTCATTGATACTTCAAAGGAGAATCTCCGGTGTCATAGCAATTGTATTACAGAGGAGAGGATTCCCTGCCTGCATAAACATTACATGTGTTGTTATGTTAGGTTACAATCCTTCTGTTTGATCATAGAGTGGATGGAACCATTTAGAAGTAGATTCACAGCTAATACATGTATTTAATACATATATTTAATACATGAATTTAGAGACCAGTGGGATCATTTGGTTTAATTAAATGAATGCATTGATATATATATATATATATATATATATATATATATATATATATATATATATATATATATATTATATACTGATTATTGAATATTCAGTGACTGTCCAAGACAAGTCCCTGCAAGGTTGGCATGTGATATTACACACACACACACACACACCCACACACACATGTGTTTAGGAAGAGGAGACCAGGGGGGTGGAGGAGGAATGGACCAGGGGGTGTGGAGGAGGAGGAGGAGGAGGAGGAGGAGGAGGAGGAGGAGGAGGAGGAGGAGGAGGAGGAGGAGGAGGCCAGGAGGGTGGAGGAGGAGGGGACCAGGGGGGTGTAGGAGGAGGAGACCAGGGGGGTGGAGAAGGAGGACACCAGGGGGGTGGATTAGGAGGAGACCAGGGGGTGTTGAGGAGGAGGGGACCAGGGGGGAGGAGAACGGGACCAGGGGGGAGGAGAATGGGACCAGGGGGGAGGAGAACGGACCGGGGGGGTGGAGGAGGAGGAGACCAGGGAGGGGTAGGAGGAGGGGACCAGGGGGGAAGGACCAGGGGGGTGGAGGAGGGGACCAGGGGGGTCTACAGGGTGTCGAGGGGGGACTGAAGCCCTGTGACCAGGCTAGGAGGAGCTCCAGTTGGGCACGTCCTTCATCCCTGTGGGCCTGAAGACAGGAAAAACAACCAATCCTGCTGTCACTAACATGATGTTGTTCTATGTTTTTACAGACAGTTTCTTGATTCGGACATGCCTAGGTATTTTATACGCCGTCTTCTTTAAAATTTAACTATAAATATTTATCATCATCATCACCATCATCATCTCTGTTTTCTTTAGATATGTTTCTTGTCATTTCAAGTTCTGCTGTCTCTATCTCCTCCTCCGACTGATTATTATATTGATGACCTCTTGCTTGCCCAACCCTGCCTCCCTCTCTCCCAGTGCATTATGGGAAACGTGGTCCCCCCGGCTGTGCATGTGCCTACCTCTCTCTGTCTCTCTTTAGGGTTGTGTTTACGGTGCGTGGTAGAGCTGGCGTGGGCATTGATAGTTTGACAGGAAGTGCTGATGATCCACAGTTAGTGCATGGCTGGCTTCGATTCCCTGTCTAGCTCAACTGGTGGAGCATGGCATTACCACAGAGTGAGCAGATATGTGTATGTGCCACTAGAGGGCAGTACCGATTCAGCTGAAAGCCAATTCGCAGAAATGTAATTCTCGAAAACGACAAACACAGCAATGTGTTCATATTTTAATGTTTTTAATATTTACAACAATACAGTCTGTTTTGATTTTATCTTTGGCACAATTGATTGGTCCAAATGTGTACATGTAACGTTTTACATGATTGACTGCATTTATTATATTTAAAGCTGGAAAACATTATTTTATCCACAGGAACACTTTGAAGCAGAACTGATAATTATCAGTGAGCCGTTTGGGAGGCCAGTCCTACATTTCCCTGTGCTCTCCCTGTGTTTCAATAGACTGTTTGGTTTTGAAGTGTTTATGAGAAAGAACTCTACGACTTATTCTAGTCCTTCAGCATTCAGCCATGTTTTTTTTTAAAGAACTCTTGGGGAACCCAGAGAAGCTGCAGAACATGCCAAGCGTTGAGAGATCTGCTGCAGGTTGTCTCCAGGTTGTCTCCAGGTTGTCTCCAGGTTGTCTCCAGGTTGTCTCCGGGCAACCTCAGCGGTCGCCCGGCACTTGCCTCCACCCTCGTGTGGTGAACTGTTCCTCAGAACCAAGCCAACCCGACCGTGCTCTGTGAAGTCCACAGCAGAACCGAAGGGGAAGTTGACACAAGTTCTGCCAGTAGAGTGACTTAAACCTGGCCTTGGCACTTTTAAAAGCAGCGTAAAAAGAACTTTCAAGTTAAAGGACTTGAGGGTGATTTTATTTCTTCTCTTGAAACGCTGGCCGTTACGCTCTGCACTCACACATGTGCCTCTGTGTGTGAGTTAGTGTGTGCATATGTGCTCTAAATCTGTGCACGCACACGTGTGTGTTTTGCTCTTCCTTAATAATGATGTTATTAATTTGTCCTTTTGGCGGACGTCTTACAGTATGGTGAGTGCATAGCGGGGGCAAGATGAGTGGTAAGGGTGTTCGACTCCCAGCCCAATGGTTCTGGGTTCGATCCCCAGTGTCCACAGCCTAACCTGTAGGCATCCTAGAGAAAGACGCCTCCTCACCCCTACCTGTTCCTTAATGACATGTCTCTGAATTCACTGTAAGTCTCTTTGGATGAGCATGGGTGTATGTCTCTTGTATGTCCCTCGCTGTAGCACTGCGGTGGTACTGGGTCTCCATTCTCTCTGGTCTCCCACGAGGTCACCCCAGGCTACGGCCAGCGGAGCTCTGCACGAGACGCTTCAACAAACGTCCATTTCTTTAATGGCTCACAGAAACATCGGCTCTTGTTTGAATCAAGCCGTTCATATTTAAAGCGTTGCCAGGCATGGCGCCAGGAATATAACTGGTTTCAGCTCTCACTGTGGGAAACGGTGGAAGCAGCGTGCAAGAACGTATGGATTAAATCATCCAGGGAAACAGAAATAAAACGTGTTATGGGGGTGGGGGGGGGTCATGTGTTTCCAATGGACCTCATCAGGGGATAGTCCCGAGGTTCTGGGTTTGGTCCCTGCTGGTCTCTGCTCTACCTGTAAACATCCCTGAGCTAGATGACCCTGTCTCTGTATTAGCTGTAGCTCTGGATGTCTCCTGAATGACTCAATTGAACAACTCTATGTATACAACAGTATACATAGAACCAGATAAATGTGTTACACACGGATGCTGATTTTGTCTTTTAGTCCACAAGGGAGTGGATGAGTGGACCAAGAAAGATATTAGGACCACGATGGTGCATGTATGTGTATTTCTTAGAGAATGATTTTAAAAGGTAGATTAAATGAAAGTGTACCATCTCTGCCACACCGCGCACACCAAAACATACTTCCTGTATCTCTCACCTCGACACACTTCCTGTTTCTTCCCTTGATATACTTCCTGTATATCCCACCTCGACACACTTCCTGTTTCCCTCGACATACTTCCTGACTGTATCTCACCATTACCTTGGTGATTTCTCTCCTCAGCACCTCCCTAGGAGTTGACCATAGGTATTCACAACCCTGACATCACCTGTCTCACCTGTCTGTCTCACCTGTCTGCCCTGCCCTCACCATGTCTGTCTCATCCATCTTTTTCACATGTCTGACAGTCCGTACGTCTGTATTTCCGTTTCTTTCCCACCTCTCGATTCTCTCGCCCGTGGTGGTCCAGACTTTCGGTGACATGGGCTCCATCTCAACCCCCTGTTCCCTCTCCACCAACTTCACGCACGCACAGACAGTTTTCACTCAGGTCCTCATAGCACAGGTTAACCACAGGTGTAGCTCATAACGTTAACCACGTCCATGGGTGCATTTTGATTTGGTACGTCCTGGCGCACCAGTAAAACACACAACTACTGGGGCCACCTGGCCTTGGCTGCAAACTTGGAACAACACTGGAATCAAACGCAGTCCTAATATGATGAGCTACAGCTGTGTGTGCCCCGCTGGGACACCAGAGCGAAAGGCGTCCGTACCTTCTTCATACTTCATAGCACTGATGGGCGATTATAAAGATGTGAAACCTTGATGTTCATTTGTCTCCATGTCAAGTACGTGTTGTTGTTTACAGTAAGAGAAAGTCATGTTTGAAAGATTTCAGCGTACTGTTACAGTTTATAACCTATTTTCTTTTGTCCATCTCTCCTCCTGTTCTACCACTACCACCATTACTACTACTACTTCTACTGTACTACTATACTACTACTACTACTACGACTACTACCTCTTCTTCTACTATTATGACTACTATACTTCTGCTATACTACTACTCTTACTAATACTACTACTATACTTCCACCACTACCATGACTACTCCTACCACCCCTCCTGATACGTCAGAACATTCTACCGGTTCGAGGCGGCCTGGGACAGCTCCATGCACAACTCTCTGCTGCTGAACCGAGTCACACCCTACGGAGAGAAGATCTACATGACACTCTCAGCCTACCTGGAGGTAGGGAGGACTATTTCAGCAATAAGCCACTTGAGGCCGTGGTTTACAATGATTTCGTCGTGCCTAACAACGCCCCCAGGAGGTTCTAAAATCACTCTAAACCAGTGGTAAACCACAGCCTCAAGTGGCTTATTGCTTTTATAAAAAGCAATAAGCCACAGCAACATAAAATGTGATCATTCATTGAAAACAAATCATAATTCTTCCACCAAGACAGCAAAATGGTTGCCAAGCAAAAAAGGCTAGCATACAGGCTTTAGCATACAGGCGCATTAATACCAAAAAGAGAGTATTTTACAACGGCTTCCAGCCAATCAGAATCAAGGACTGGAACTATCCATTTTAAGTATAGTATAGTACTGTGATGTACTATATGTATTACTTTTTCCTTTTTTATGGTTTACTACTTTCCCTCAAGCCTACGTGGCTGTAGTGTATTGTAATACTGTGATGTACTCTACTGTAATACTGTAGCACTTTAGTGTACTGTAATACTGTGATTTTACTGTGATGTCGACCGCCAACTACATCCTGAAGTAGCATCCATCCCTCGCCCATCATTAATGCAGTCCTGACATCCTGATGTAACCACGGTTACCGGCCCTGTAAAACCTCCTTTATAGTTACCGTGTGTGAACTCCATGACCCAAAAGTGAGGTCATCGCGGCCCTCATGCACGGTTTATACGGTGATTTGTGGCGTCTCGCACACCTCTGAATTGTCGAAGCTCGGCGTGGAGAGCTTACCGAACTGCATGAAAACGCCACGGCCGTGGGTGTCCTGTCCACACACTTCACCAACATCGCATCACGCCGCCTATGAAGCATGCTTAACCCAGTAACCCTGTGTTGTGTTTTGTGTCAGATGGAGAACTGCACGCTGCCCACGGCCATCACTAAAGACGTCTGCATGGTGTTCTACTCCCGTGACACCAAGGTCCCTGCCTCCCACACCATACGCACCCTGTTCGGCACGGGCAGCCTGCGGGCCACCGAGGGGTGCGTTCACCACGTCTACCGCTGAAAACATTTCTGTATTGTCTTGGCTTCTGTACCCTGCTTCTCACTGTATGTGTCACCGTAGGTCTATTGTAATGAAGCTGCTACGAATGTTTGTGTATACTGTGTGTCCAGTCTTTTGTAGTATGTGTGTATAATTGTTAGCCAGAGATATGTGTGATATTCGTTACACTCCATTTCCATCTTCAGTCTGACATGGCCTCTGATAATTGTTTGTTGGTTCATTAGTTTATTCAACAGGGATTTTGTACTTTATTTGACACATGTAAATGTGACAGAAAGGCTAATTTTCATCCCCAGTCCTGCAATCTGCAGTTTTCCTCATGTGTTACCTGAGGTGATTCTGATGTCATGGTTACCCGGGTGATCATAATGTCATCTCTCTGTCTCCCTAGCAACCGTGTGACGGGGGTGTACGAAGTCAGCCTGTGCCACCTGGCGGACGCTGGCAGCCCAGGTAGGAAGAGATCAAATACTACACATTTATTCCCATGATGCATTGCTTTCCACCCCCAAGATCCTTAGATCCTTCTACCACCAGCTGTGATGTTCATTGGCCCTTACAAGCCATTTAAAAATCCACCCTCATCACAATGGGAGTGTCCACCCAGATGTATGATGGATAGATCAGCCTACCAGATGGGACAGTCCACTAGGTTGGCTGGTAGGATAGTGTTAAGGTTGTCAACAACACACCTGGTGGTAAAATATGGGTCTTTTAAGCTAACCTTACCACAAATAAATCGTATCTGATCTTAACCTAAAGTTAAGCATTTGATCTTAATACCTGAACTTAAAAACATGAATTTCACCACCTGTGTGTCATGGTGTTCATGTCTCACCTGTCGGGCAGGGGTGAATAAAGTACTATCTCATTTTACCTGTCCTCCAGGTATGCAGAGGCGTCGTCGTCGCGTGCTGGACACGTCGGTGGCATACGTCCGCGGCGAGGAAAACCTGGCCGGGTGGCGGCCGCGTAGCGACAGCCTCATCCTGGAGCACCAATGGGAGCTGGAGAAACTCAGCCTGCTGCAAGAGGTACGCACCACTCACTCATTTGTAAAGTGCCAGTTAACACAAAATTATGTTTCTTTTGTAAACGTTTTAAACGTTTAAACGTTTTAAACGTTAGTATGTCTTCTATGATGTGTCAAAGTGGGCGAGGGGGATTCACTTTACACTTAAAGGTCTGTCAATACTTCAGACTTCTTCCATCTAGGTTGACAGACGCTTCGCTCTTCGCTCTCCGCTCTTACTTTCTTACTTTTCTTTTTTTCCCATTGTAATCCTGTCCTTTTGCTACAAAATGTATGGAAAGCGGGTCCTGGATACTTCTAAATCACTGGGAGCTTAATTTATGAAAGTATCTGAAGGCTACCACTATTATTTAAACCCTTTTTACTTTGTGAGTGTGGCCTATCAGCAGCATAAGCCTGCACTATACTCAGTGCGTTTACATGACACTCAAGAAAGTCGACTTATTGGCTTAGTCCAACTATGATTGGATTACTAAGATGCATGTATACACCTTAGTCGAGCTATACTCGAATCGAATTGGGTTACTCATAGTCGAATTAAGACCCCTAGATAATGCGATTCATAGTCGAGCTAAGCGTGCATGTAGCCAATCGAATTGGACTATGCGTTGAATTGCGTTCTGCGCATGCTCGAGATCTCTTCCCGGGGCCGTGAGCCGGAAGTAGAAAGAGACGATAGTCGTGTTGTTGTTGTTGTTGTTGTTGTTTTCGCCGCCGTCGGATAAGGGATAACGAGAAATGGCGATTTATTTAAAAAGGTGGCGCAGAAGATGGAGGAAGCCGGTGAATGTAGTTACCCCCTATAAGAATTGTGTCCCGGCCGCGGGAGCGTGCATGGCATGCATTCATTAAAGGTGGAAGCACACGGACACTACGCTTCGATTTCACCCAAGGCTGAATTAAAAGTACATGTTTTTCTAAATGTGGGTCATCAACGAGGTTGTAAAGTAGTAACTTCGGGCACATCTGTCAAAATAAATGTTTTTTTCTCCCGACGTGTTTACGATCTTTATTCATTCATTGCG